ATGCCTTGACCCCAACGTCTATTTTCGGTATTCCCTGGGGACTTCATTGTTCTGTTCCCCTTGCTGTTCTGTTGTACACCTTTAGTGTTTTGCTTCAGTGTGGTGGGTCAGATTGGGTGCAATTCCTGCATGGTGTCTCTAGTGTTGTCCCCCATAGCACTACAGGTCAGTGACGGGCGTCATGTCTCGGCCCTCTGGTCTTCTCTGTGGGTTGGCTGCTCTGAGCGGGAATATCGTCCTCAGGGCTTGGTAGACCAGGCTGTGTTCCACTCTTTCTTCCTCCCCCTTCATTTGCTCCTGTGTGCTCTGATCAGACATGTCCCTCTCCCTGAGCTGTAGCTTCAGTGCTGTCCTCTGAAGTGAATTCTGCGGGGAGAGGGGCACTGAGCACGAAGTTGGGATTGAAGCCAGCCCCTCATGGTCTCATTATTTTGAATTTTAGTCCACAGTTGTCTCCCACTCTATCTAGGACCTTCTAATACAGTGGTTCTCAACCTTCCTAATGCTGTGACCCTTTAATACAGTTCCTCATGCTGTGGTGACCCCCAACCATAAAATTATTTTCAGTGCTACTTCAAAGCTGTCATTTTGCTACTGTTATGAATTGGTTGACCCCTGTGAAAGGTTCGTTCGACCCCCAAAGGGGTCAGGACCCACAGGTTGAGAACCGCTGTTCTAATGTGATTCTTTTTAGAGCAGTTGGGAGTGGAAGCTGGGCACCATCTAGTTCTTCAGGTCTCAGGCTTTGAAGACTGTTTTTTTTTTATGGTCTGTTAGTCCATTGGATTAGTTGTTTTCATAAGTCTTTTGCTTTTTATTACTTTTCTTTCTTCCAGACAAGGATACCTCCTTTTCTGTCTATGTCACCTACATTTTAAACGAATTTGGTGGTCACTATTTTACATTTACAAATTTCCATGCCCACAGTAAAACATTGTCCATTAACTTCTGAAGCGGAGCACTTTCCCGTGGTTTAAGAATCAGTGTTTGTACTTTAACTTATTGACAGATCACCCTTTGCTAACCTGTGCTGAAAGTAGCTTTGTTGTTTTGGCTATTAGGCTACTTGTACTAAGAAAAAAAAAAAAGACAGATCAAATATTTGTTTGGATAAGTATTTTTTTCTATCTTAGGAAAATCAAGTCATGTATTTTTAATTCCCAGAGCTTTATCCTGACCCGTGTGAGGTTGTAGCTGAATCGCTTCCCTTTTGTGGCTCTGGGTGTCTTTTGTGACTAAATGCAAACCCAAACCCTTTAAGCATGTCAAGGTTAGTGCGCATAGGAAATAAAGGGCAGCCTTAATCGAGCCTAAGAATTTTGACATGACAGGATGAAAACAGTAATTGTAGTCTTTCAAATTCAGCAAAGCTTTTGAAATAGGACAAAGTTACCCTGCCAAAAGTCTGTAGGACATGCAAGAATTATTTTAAAGATGCTGTTTTAAAGATTTGAAAAGCCACTGACTCCAGACTTCCTGTCTGCCACACACACGTATTTGTTAAAGTATATGAAGTAAAATGAAGTCCTTCCGAGGAGGAGAAGGATGAGTCGGAATTAGTTGTCTGGTGACTGCCGTAAGTTGAAAACAAAGGAACCTGTATGAAAGCCCCGACACAGGGGTCAAGCATCGGGCTGCAGGACTGCCGACGCGCAGCGAACCCGCAGCCACTGTGCAGGAGGGGGATTCATCATCTCAGAGGCCGTATGC